GGACAGGAACCCCGGACAGACCTTCCCATGTACCTACCTAGAGACAGGAACCCCGGGCAAACCTCAGGACAGAGACAAAGTGCCCCCATATTATGGTCTGTTAATGGGTTAGGGTCGCCCAATGAGTAATGAATCTCACACATGGAATGCCATCTCCCCGTCTGTTCTTCTACAGGTGTTGTCAGCTGCCACCATTGTGGCTAAGCACACCTCTGCTCTGTGCAATGCCTGTCGCCTGGCATCCACTCACACCTCCAATCCTGTGGCCAAGAGGCAGTTTGTCCAGTCTGCTAAGGAGGTGGCCAACAACACGGCAAACCTGGTGAAAACCATCAAGGTAAAGCTTTTACTCCAACCTATAATGACACTGATGGCCGGTCACATGTGGGGGGATGGACATTCAAGTCACATGGCATCACATGATATCCGGCAGAGTGGTGACATTGATTCACATGGATTGCCCTCTTCTTCCTGTTCCAGGCTTTGGATGGGGCATTTAATGATCAGAATCGGGCCAAGTGTCGGGAAGCCACCGTGCCGCTTATCCAAGCCGTGGAGAACCTGACCGCTTTCGCCTCTAATCCAGAGTTTGCTAGTGTGCGCTCCCAGATCTCCCCCGAGGTGAGGATGACCACAGGAGGACTGGAATATTCCATTGTGTCTCTTCTTGTCCAACCTTCTCAATTGGTTGACTCTTTCAGGGTCTCCGCGCCATGGAGCCAATCATCAGTTCAGCTCAGACCATGCTAGAGAGTTCCTCTGGCCTCATCCAGACCGCACGTTCTCTGGCTGCCAATCCCAAAGACCCACCACAATGGTCAGTGTTGGCTGGACACTCCCGGACCGTCTCCGACTCCATCAAGAAACTTATCACCAATATGAGGTAAGGGCGGAGTACCCACCAGTGACGAGGGGATGATGCATGCATACTCCTGTGACATGATCAGTACCAGGAAGCTCCTTGGCGCCGGTCCATTTCTGAGGTGAAGTTTTATTCTACATCTGTTTTGACGCGCGCTCTTTCCTCAGGGACAAGGCCCCGGGACAGAGGGAGTGTGACCAGGCCATCGAGCTCCTGAACCAGGCGGTGAGAGAGCTGGACCAGGCCTCACTAGAAGCCATCAGCCAGCAGTTGGTGCCGCGGGAGGGCATTTCACAGGAGGTAAGCAGTGAGACTGAAGTACAAGTATAGCAATTCTGTACACAAGACTTGGGCCAAGGTTTGGAGTTGGGGCTTCAGCCACAAAGAGTCTTGAAGCAGAGTCACAGCTTCCCTGCCTGGGGGTTGGGGCATATCTAAGGTGTCAGTGCTCTGTGCATTGTGGGGTCCTTGGGAAGGGGGTAAAAAGCAGTGCCAGCGCCGAGACAGAAATCCCAGACTGTGAGTTATTTTGGCCACGAGGGCCTCCATCATACTGGTGGTACTGAGGAGTGACACCCCACCAGCCTGTAGACTCCACATCATGTGCCTTCAATGCAGGAATTCTGCTTTTTGTCTTTAGGCTTTGCACAACCAGATGCAGACCTCTGTACAGGAAATCAGCAACCTGATCGAACCGCTGGTGGCCGCTGCACGGGCGGACTCATCACAGCTTGGACACAAGGTAAGACCCATCACCACAGGCGGCACCAGGACCAATGTTCATGGATGAGTCCCCATTCATTCCGTCCAATGCCTTCTCCCCACAGGTCTCCCAAATGGCCCAGTACTTCGAGCCTCTGACCAATGCCACCATTGGAGCCGCCTCCAAGGCCATCAATCACCAGCAGCAGATGAACCTTCTGGACCAGACAAAGACGCTGGCGGAGTCCGCTCTGCAGATGCTTTACACTGCCAAGGAGGCTGGTGGAAACCCCAAGGTAAGCCTTGAGAAGACCTATGTATGAGGGGGGGAGGGGGAGGCAGAGTATAGGAAGACAACTGCAGCTGCAAAGGCTTCTGGTACCACAGAACACCAATGGTGGAGATGGTGATGACCAGGTGATAGTACGTTGTAGGTGAATGGTGGATCACACAGCTCTATGAATGGGGAAGTCTCCGGGATCTGGTGTCAGAAGTAGGAGTACTATAGGGTGGGTCACACATGTCTATGAATGGGGAAGTCTCCGGGGATCTCGTGTCAGAAGTAGGAGTACTATAGGGTGGGTCACACAGGTCTATGAATGGGGAAATCTCCGGGGATCTCGTGTCAGAAGTAGGAGTACTATAGGGTGGGTCACACAGCTCTATGAATGGGGAAATCTCCGGGGATCTGGTGTCAGAAGTAGGAGTACTATAGGGTGGGTCACACAGCTCTATGAATGGGGAAATCTCCGGGGATCTGGTGTCAGAAGTAGGAGTACTATAGGGTGGGTCACACAGCTCTATGAATGGGGAAATCTCCGGGGATCTGGTGTCAGAAGTAGGAGTACTATAGGGTGGATCACGCAGCTCCATGAATGGGGAAGTCTCCAGAGCTCTCCCAGAGTGAGGCCCTTGGGGTTAGGGCCCCATACGGCTGTGTACACTTACCTCGGCCCGGTTGGGCCTAACACACCTTGTCCCTGTGATAGGTGGCCGGACACACACAAGAAGCTTTGGATGAAGCTGCCCAGATGATGCACGAAGCTGTGGACGATCTGACGGGAACTCTGAACGAAGCCGCCAGTGCCGCTGGAGCTGTCGGTGGAATGGTTGACTCCATCACTCAGGCCATCAACAAGGTGAGCACCAAACTCTCTTACCTCACAATCCTAAATCTGCCACCAATGTGCCCCCCCTGACCCACATCTCCTCCTTGTCGTGGCAGCTGGATGAACAGCCCATTGGCGAGGCTGAGGGATCATTTGTGGATTATCAGACAACCATGGTGAAGACGGCCAAGGCGATAGCAGTGACGGTCCAGGAGATGGTGAGTGACCGGCGCGTGGTAGGTGCCGAGTTATGTGGATGGGCAGCTGGCGGGAGTCCGAGGAATATTGGAGGAAGACTTGGCCGCTCTCTCACCTCATACCAATTGTAAGATTCTCTTTCTTTCAGGTCACCAAATCCACCGCCAACCCGGATGAACTGGGCACATTGGCCAACCAACTCACCAACGACTATGGTCAGCTGGCCCATGAAGCCAAACCAGCCGCTATGACTGCCGAGAACGAGGAGGTGAGAAGATCTTCTCCAGCCAGAGAAACCCAGTTGGGTCTACAAGACATTGCTGTGTCATCTCCAATCTTCACCTCCCACCAAATCTGTTCCCGGTACTTCAGCTTCCTGTGCCGCCAAAACGCCAATCCCTCCCCGAAACTTCTGTCCGGCTCCGTCCTCTCCATAGCCGGGTCTCCGGACTGTCCATCGGCCTTTCCCCTGAGCCCATTCATCTGCGTCTAATGTTGGCAGGAAGGTCTTCCCCTGTCCACAGCTCCGGATCCCCCCCCCTGTCCACAGCTCCGGATCCCCCCCTGTCCACA